GTAAAGTTGAAAACTTGTTTTATTTGAAACTCAGAGACCTGTCCTCTTGCTGTTGTCCATGTGTACGCTGTCATGTATGAGACTAGTGTCTTGTTTGAGTTATGTCTAGGGTTAAGAAAGTAAGGTTCAATCTCAGACAACTGTCCTCTTGCTGTTGTCCATGTGTACATTGTCCTGTATGAGACTAGTGTCTTGAATTTTGTCTAGTGTCTAGAAAGTGAGGTTCAACTTACTTACAAATATTTTTATATCAGGCTGGAGCCTAAAAGGACAACAGCCAGGGGCCACAACTTAGGGACACCCAGTTCAACATCGAGCATGAGCGAAGTGGATGAGTTGGTAGCTAATATTGATAGGGTAAGTTCAAGATAGCATTGATTTCATATATACCAACAGAATTGGTTTTGTTATCCTGAGAGTGTTTAAAATTGTATATCCTTAATTAGGTCCTTTGCTAAAATTTTCAAGCTAACAAAGGCTAAAATGTTCTATTTTTATAACTACTTGGATAGCTTAGTGGCTAAAAAGTTGGCCTTTTAACTGGAAGACTCAAGTTCAAATTCAGACTCTAGCTTTTTTTTTATTTTGCAAATTGCTTTTTAAAAGAAAGCTTCTCCCATATCCCCTCCCACTCCACTCTAGCTGATCCACAAAAGTAATTGGATCTTAGTGCACTGAGCATGCCATAAGCATGGGAGGGAATGAAAAGAATATGATTGTTTCAGCAGAATTTAAAGATAAAGTCAAACAAAATAATTAAATTCTAATGTAAAGCTTTAATCAAACTCTGTATATATATATTTATCAACTATAAAGAAATCTTTGTTATGGATCGGGTAATTAACATTGTCTTAATCATCTTTTCCACAAATTATTTTTTCCTTCTACAAATTACAGTGGCTTACATCAGTGATCACAAATAATGTGTAATAGTTGAAGACTAAGAAGACTAATAGACTAATATAATAAACCAGTCGACCGGCGGCTATTTTGCAGGGTCGGCCTTAGTGCGCTGCAACCTATGCGACCGCAGTGGGCCCAGCACTGTCATAGGCCCCACGCTAATATTAGGTGTAAATTATTAAATTAAACCATTTTATAACTTTTAACAGATTTTCCGTGGTCTCCTGATTTACCAGGAGCTCCTGGAAATCTCCTGAAATTACAAAATACAAAATATACGAAAAAGTCATGGAAATCTCCGGAAATTATTAAAATCTTTTGAAAACTCATACTAATCTCCTGAAGTATATAGACAAAATTGGCATTTTGGGGTGTCATTCAATATGGAAAACGCCAATCCTACACGCAATAAAAAAAACAGCACTATGCAATACCTGTGGAATTTAGTGAAAGAAGCTACTCGCGCTTCAAACTAATGAAGAATTACTTGAGGTCAGCAATACTTGTACATAGATTGAAACATTTGGTAATTCTTTCTATTGAGCGTGATCTATGTAGGAAATAAAATTTTTATGATATACTGTATGACTTCGCTACATGCAAGTTTCTTAAAGTAGTTCTGTGCATAGTAAAAAATGAATAAAATGCAAAGACGAATTTATTTTCTAATACAAATTCTTCACTTTCACTTACCCTACCCAAACTTGGCCACCTGAAATCAGTTTTGCACAGGACCTCACAATGATTGCTATTTAGTGACGGGTGAATACAGAGTAGATTACTTGTTCTCCTCCCCCACTTTTTTTTTTCGCCGCTAAAACTACGTGGGGTAGAAATAAAAAAGAGTGATCTTTCCATGATTTCTTGGTCACAACGGTTAAGTTCAGCCCTGCTATTCCCCCCCTCTTTTTTTTCTTAGGGTAACTCTAGTCCAGCAGAAATAAAAGAGTGATCTTTTCTTTACTTCTTGTCCAAACTCTTGAGCCATGAAGAGAATTATATATATATAGATAGTAAAGAAAGAGAAATAAAAACTCTTACATTACAATGCACTAAAAAGTAGAAAAAAAAAGATTTGTGGGTGTTACGAGCAGATGAGATTCTTAATTATACACCAATATACTCATATATATTTAGTAGATGATGAAGACTTTAATCTTGAGAAACCATTAATAATATATAAACAATAACGTCAGTTACATTACTCCATTTTGGATTCTTCTTCTCTCTAACCCTTTCAACACGCATTCGCACCATTCCACATTCACGCTATACTGCGCACGTAACAATAGGGTGCATTTCACTTGAGCTCCTACCCCCACAGAGATACAACATTACACTTTGTAGTCTATGCATTCATATCTTGAACATTGCACCATATCCATCACATACTTTACCAATAGATGTTGTTTTTTTTGTCGTAAATGAACAAAACTTTATATAGACCATTAGCAGACAACAGATTTGCTTAGCGAGATGCAGGAAAATATGCAGGTCACAACTGGGTCTGCATAGTTATGTGAATCACAGCATGCATCCTTAATCTACGGAGTCAAAGACATAGCCATTAAATGATTTAACAGTAGTTCATATTTAAAACTGAATTTTCAACTTTTGTTTCTTTACATTATTACTATTGTAATAACAGTTTTAGATTTAACAGTGTAAGTCATGCTAGAGGATTAAAATGTAGTAGGATTTGACTTGTTGACTTTCAACTCTTTGTTGTGATATATTAACAATTGTATTGTTAAAAAAATTGATTTTCAGGGTTTGGACTTGTCAACCTCCAGTTCATCTGAAGACTTACCTTTTGTTGAAGATGCTTCCAGGCTTGAGTCATGCATCCAAGACCTGATGGTGATACTAGGGGACAGCACCCCTCGGGAAGAACTGACCCGAATAGCCTTAGCAGCTGACTATGACATCAACAGAGCTCTCAATTTCTTTTTCGCCTCGTGATATTCGCCAATGTTTTCCTATTCTTTGTAACTTACTCCCCTTGCACTTTGTGCCATAGAGTTTGTGATATCTTTTTTCTGTCTTTGAAACAAGCAATTTTCATTTTCAGCACATTCTGTGTGGATTGAAATGATTTGGACTTCAAAACAATTTCACATTGAAATGATGCACTTTTATTTATTACCCGACCCAGATAGTATGTGCATGCAACATTCAAGTTCTCTCTCGACTGTTTTCATGTCTGAACATTACTAACTACAAACTTGTAGCTTCATTTCTTACCTGTGTCTGGCACCAGCAGCTCAGTCTGTGTTGAGTTAAAGAATAAACTCTTATCAATGACATTTTAACTCCCTAACCTTCCCCCCTTTCTTTGCTTTTTTTAGATAAAACTTAAAGCTTATAATTCGAAGCGACTATAGGTGATATAAACTATATTGACATAAATCACTTGTAGAAACAAGTTTCTATTGTTATAAAGTACTTGGGTATTTACAAAGTGTTTGTTGTTGTTTTTGTTCCTGTTGAATTGGATCTTATCTACACTCACTGTAATGTAATTTCATTTAAAACTACTAGGACATTCTTTTTTTTTGCCTATTTATGATGACTGGCACAATTTGTCTAGAAGAACAAGAAGTCTTTCTGGACTATATACAATGTTTGTTATTGCCGTTATTCAAACTAACATTGTGGGTTGCTGCCGCAGTACAAGTGAGGGAAGTCAACATCTACATTCACAGATCAGATTTTATGTTGAGTTGGTATAAACATTTGACACTGTTTCATTTTTGTTTTAGAACTTTTGACATCGGAATGTTCTAAACTAAAACATTTTTTTTTTTTGTTATTTAATTTTGTTTTGTTTTAACTTGACAAAGTATTTTGGAATTAATTTTGTTAACTTCAAGAAAAATGTGTTTAGTTGCTAGTTGAACTAGCTGGAAATCGGACATCCTATTTCCATATCACTTAGCAATCTTTTTTTTTTGTCTTTCATTAGCTGTCCACCAGCTTTTAGGTTAAAGGTTATGCTGGATCAGTATAATTGTGTGTGTTCAACTCAAGTGACTAAATATCTATTTTAAGTTCTGCAATAGGGTGTGTTGGGGGAGGTGGTCTTTAAAAAAACTTATTTTTAGTTTAACTAATTGACTAGGTCAATAAGGGCTCAAAGAACAAGGTGCTACTTTCTATTTTTTGTTCAGGTGTCCTGGGTAGACCATGAGTCTCTATGTTGAAGTGTTGTATGTTGTGTATTCAGAACTCAACTTCTAGTCTTTTAACTCCCCAGTCCCTCAACCTTACACCCAGGAACAGTTTCAGCTCATTGTGTATTTTGTTTAGGTCAGTGCCTAGCAAAGTGTTTTTTTTAACTTTACCTCTTCTAAGTCTTCTGTGCTGGAGGGTGAAGATGTATTTACAACACATGGAATACTAAACATTTTTTGCATATCATTATAATAATCATAACCATTGACCTGTATGAGTGCTGTGATGTAATTAGATGATATTTAATTGTTGGAAGACTTGTATTACATTTTGACATTGGAGAGACACAGCAAAGAAGCTACTGAGACACCAAACTAGTCTTCAGACACAGGCATTTTGGAGACGCACATTAAAAAAACAACTTTTGGAGGCACATTTTGAAGACAGATATTAAGACTTTGTGAAAAAACACAGACATTCTGGTGACACACAAAAATAAACTTGTGGAGACACAAGACTTTTGAAAGACACCAAAAATATAGTTAGAAACACAAACATTGTATTGAGACAAAGACATGATAGAAACACTTAGACATTGTTAAGACACACACAGATATTTGGAAAAGAAATAGACACACATTGATATAGTGGAGACAATACATGGACTGTAGTCAAACATGGACATTTTTGAGAGACAAAATACATTGTAATGGGATATTTTAAACATTAGGTCACACATTGACACTGTGAAGACATATTTTAAACATTTGGTCACACATTGACACTGTAAAGACATATTTTAAACATTTGGTCACACATTGACACATTGTGAAGACATATTTTAAAAATTAAGTCACACATTGACACTGTGAAGACATATTTTAAACAGTAGGTCACACATTGACACTGTGAAGACATATTTTAAACATTAGGTCACACATTGACACTTGTAAGTAATCTGTGGTTGTCAGGGAAAGAATGGGCCAGGAATCATTACAGAGATGTTCTATAATTTATGTTTGGGTTTTATATCTCTAGTAAAACTGTGTAGGGAAAGGTGTTACAATCTGTTGTGAAACTGTGTTTGATTTACATGTACATCAACATTGGGGGATCTAGTGAAATAATCCATACAATTATTTTGTAAGCTTCCTAACATATCAACTAAAATTTCAATTCATAATGTTTTTGAGTCATAAGGCCAATGTCTAGCCTTTTAAATGAGATTTAATGCTGCCAAAGTTGTTTACATTTTTTAATGCAACCTAGCAGCCAACGTGAACATGTTTTTAAGTGGAACTCGGGGGGGGGGGGGGGGGGGTGTATTTAATCTTCACCAATTTTAATTTCAAACTGTATTAGTTTAGATTTTATTTAGGCAGGTATGTAACCTTCTAATGACTAGTTTGTCTTTGATATATATATATGTGTCTATTTAACACAATTGATATTTAACTATCTGTTGATGACTGAACAGAGAGATCTGGGCTAGTTAGCCTAGCACCTAGTGCTGGTCTTGTTGAGTGACCATCATTAGACTGACCAGTTGAAATAAAGAAAAGGAAAGATTTCTTGAAAACACTTAGTTCTTTTGTTATTTTTGTACATACATGTTTGGTGTTATTCAATTATCTATTGACAATTTTGTTTCAATGTCTGTAATATGTATGGTTTGTTAAATTGTCATAAACTTCCTAATTTCATAAGTTAAGTTTCTAGAGATTTTCTGGTCCAAGATGTCAATGATAAGTTGGCTTTTGGGACCAATGATAATCAAGGCCAGCATAATGTGAATGGTGTTACATTAACATCACCCTTCAATGTTGGATAACATTAGAAGAGAGATCAGTCTCTGACATTTCAGGCTAAAACAAGATTTGAACTATGAACTTGTTAGTTTCAGATCTGACTTCAATTTATTGGACAGAAGCTATTGTTTTTAAAACATTACATCACCTCCTACTCTCTTAAGAAAAAGTAAAAGTTCCACTTTCAGACCTAGCGGTCTATAGGGCAGATGATGTGGCCTATGGAAAACGAGGATGTTGTGGCCAGCACAACGACCTATCGCCTTTACTTTTCCCCAACTAGTGTCAGGTACCCATTAGAGCTGGGTGGACTCCGAGGTGCCCTAAGATCCCAAAATTAAAAATCAGTCACAACCAGAATTTGAACCCGGGACCTTTGGTTCCTAAGCCAAGTGCTTTACCACTCAGCCACATTGCCTCCTTCTTACCCTCTTTCAAGCTTTAAAGTACATATGCAGAAAATGACAATGTTTTGACTCACATTGCAAGTGAAACATAGAAACAGAAGACTAGATAAAATGAAAGAAAGTCAAGAAATGTTTACAATTGATTTATTTTGACTTTCAAAACAATGTTGAAGGAGACATGAAGTCTATAACATGCATCCAATGTGCAAAGTTAGTGTTGCTGTCAAAAGTTTTAGAAAAATACATCAAACAAAATAATACATTTAAATGAGGGATAGTTGGTTGTTTCTACATATCATTCCAGATTTTTTTGGCTATCAGCAGTTATGAATATCTGCAGAGAAGCTTATTTCTATGACTTCCATAAGTACCATCAGGAAACCTTACAAAGCATCCGCCACTGTTTAATTTTCGTGTAGTGTGAATTCACAAGTGAAAAAAAAAACCTCGGTTTTCGACTAGGTTTTTGGCCAACAATTGAGTAGGTTTTGTAAGACTTTGGCAATGACCAGTTCTGCTAGTGCTCATGTCATGCACTATTAAACTGGAGAACAAAAAATCTGGTACTGTCAAAATGAAAGTTTAGTTCAATTTTACTTTTTGTATCTAAGATTCAAACTAAAATTTTAATGTTAACATTGAAATGAGATTATAGAATTGACAAGGATCTTAGAAAAAAAAAAGGTCTTCAATGTAAAAATAATCAAATCAACAATCTATATCAGACATTCCCACTTAGATGTGGAGTCTTTACCTTGGTACAAAATTTCATTTAAAGTTATTCTTAAAAAAAATTAGAAACTATTTCCTAATTATCAAACCTTTGTTTAAATTCTTAAGTTTAAAAATAAATTCTTATAGTAAAAAAAATGTACAATAGATTTTTGGTTGATTTTTTAAACCCAAGACATCATTCCCATTGTAAAGGTGTGACAAGTGTCATAGACTGGGAGCCAGTCAATCTTGAATGTGCTAGCCCTGTCCATGGACTAGACTAATGCCCACCACTGTAAGTCTGCAGTGAGATCAGCACCTTTACTTATAGCCTACAGCTTGAACTGACAATTTGTTTGATAATGTATAGGTTTTAGAAAACACTTGGATTATGAGGAATTCTATCAAATTGCATTTCTGTAGATCACAGATTGCTAGTGGAACAAGGAGAACTAAGATGTCTTCTAAAAAAAAAGCACTTAAAAAAATAGTCAATGTAAGTTCAACTTTTTAAAAAAAAAATACTTGTTAACTTAGGCTAAGATAGAAATGTCTTTAAAAACATTTCGAAAATTAAACAAAAAAAAAATTTTAAAAATAAGACGGAAGACCATTAAAACAAGAACTGTTAAAAAGTGTTTTTTTTATAAAGTCAATTAGAAATAAAAACATTCAACAAAGAGGGAAACAAAGACATTCAGTCAATGGAGAGTGTTGTAAGTAGTTGAATGAATTTACTTTTGAAAGTTGCTTATTTGACTAACTCATCTAGTCTAACATTAAACAAAATATCTATCTGCATGTCATATTGCTTGGATTGAATTTAAAAATGGAAATTGATTACAATAAAACATTAAAGAAATTAGTTTCAGAACCTTCAATTAGTTTCATTATTTCCCATTGTTACCTTTCCTACTATGTACTACATGAAGGTAAGCCAACAGAAGGAAACTGTCCATTGGAGACTTGCACAATTTGGTTCACTGTTGAAACTGACATTTTTGGTCTGTATAATTTCAATTCTGTAAATTAAATGTGTTTTACATGGCTAAAAGCAATCTTATAGAGTCCAGAGCGGCAGATCAGCCATTAAAAAAAATAATAATTTGATGTAGAATACCATGTACCATATCACAACCTGCCCCATTATTGTAAATGCCTGGGAATGTCTAGTCGAGAGGCTAAGTACGCTTTAACTTGGTTTGGCTACCTACGAAGGGGGCTCGATGTTCAACACCTGACTCCAGCAGAGTTGTGTTTACTAATTAAAGTCCGCACGGAAAACTTCCTCCCAGATACCCCCTCCCCCCACTGGTCCACAAATGAGATTGGACCATAGCACTCTGAGCATGCTATAAACATGAAAGTAGCACTATATAAAAGCTTTAATTTAATTTAATTTATATTGTCGCCAACTTTTTATGAGTGTATATTTAATCCATGCATTATACAGTAAACACAGGAAAGGCTGCGAGAGACAACCCTGTGGAAAAATCAGGAGCTGGCGACCCTTAGGCACACAGAGCACCTACCAGCAGAACTCGTAATGCTTCTGATCCCAAACTGTATCCAATATTTGTCGTTTCATTTGGACATTTACTGCATGGAAAGTGGGGGAACTGCTGTGTGCGCAACATCATCATAGCTAGTGTCCAGGCTTTCATCTCAGAGGCCAACATAAAGCAATTTGTTCTGCAGTGCTATACATTTTAAATGTACATGTCAAATCTATAGTTGGTTCACCTATTAGAAATGAAAACAAATTGGCTATCACTATTATAGGACAGAACAAAATTATTTCTGTATCAGTACAAGTTCTGCTGTTTTTATAACATAATGTACAATGATGCTTAAAGTTAAAAAAAATAAAATTTGACAAAATTGAAAAAAAGTCAAGAGCGAGTGAGGTAGATTCTCAAGTGAGACTTTTTAAAAACAAATGTATCACAATTATAGATTTTGATTTGATCATCGGCCTAACCTCTTCATCTGTAGACATAGCACAAATCTCAGAACAGATAACGTACACGGTACAAATAAAATTAAAAAAACTGTACATAAAAAGGAAGAACAAAAAAAAAAACAGCCATTTTGTAGTTTTATGATTGTCTTGGTGAAACAGCCACAGAATATTCCATTCATCTAGCATGGTTTTGAAGCATGTCCATGAATTATAGGCTATATATAGAGTTCAATGAATATAATAAACAGAATATATTGGGGTTTATATCACATCTGAAAAGTTTTACAAATAACAAGGGGACACTAGCAGTGACAGTTCTGCTCCATATGAGAGTCTGGGTGAAATGAACAAGTTCCAGTTTATTATCACAAGTTGGTCATGTGACCTTGCTGCCTTTTGTATTAATTGATCACTGTCAATTTATCTACTGCAACTTTTAGGTCAGGGCAGAGTAGCCACTGTAGGCATCTTTTACTATGTTGTGAGGGACTTACACTGAGAAATATCACTAAACAATTGTGGTAGAAATGAAATTTAGTCAACGGAAGTGACCTTTAAATTATCCAATATAGCCACCATTATACCTCCAGTCTGCAACATTTATAACTTTCTATTGACATGGCAAAGTTAATGTATATAATTAGTCCAATTTTCACAACACATTTGTGTACAGATAAAATGTACACCTTGAAATGTGTCATGTATATTTCAAGTTTCTCTGCAACATTCAGTCAATATTTCAATTGACAGCTTTGACAGAAGACACTATATGTCAACTCTGAACTGGAAGCAAACAGTCAAATCTATGTTGTGGCAAGCCCATGGGTTATGTCAGATGCTCTCTGTGGTGGACTGTTCTGCCTCACCTTAAAGAAAGTCGATTTCTACCAAAGTTTATGTGAGTATTGGCTGCTGGTGGACCAGCTGAAGAGAAAATAGGAAATAAATTAGTCTTTTTTGTTAACAAATAAATTTATATACAAGAAGAACATTAAGACCTATCTGTTTAAAGCTTTTTTAGATTAGTTTGTCATTTTTGCTCTCATCTTTATGTTGTAATGTTATCACAGCGCCTTGAGCCTATATTTTTGTTTGTTAACAGCGCTTTATAAATAAAATCACTATTATAAACAAATACCAGATACAGCTTAGTCATACCACAATATTTGATTTTTTTTAAACTGAACACTAGATCAAACAAATTGGCTCTTAATTTGACAAGAATTTTTCAAAATAGGGTAATCTATTAGCAAAATTTAATGGAAAATTTTAACACGATTCCCTGAAATTATTTTATATTATAAACAAGCTGAAGTTTTAAGTAAAAAAAATAAATTCAAAACAAATACTTGATCAGTGGCTCTTGTAAAAAAAATTTAGAAATCTTGGTAATTAATTTGGCAAGATTTATAAATGGATCCCAATGGACCAAACTATCTCTTGACATTCTGTTCAGATTCTCTATGGACCAGAAGGAGTGGAGGGACACAAACTATCATAGCCCCCCCCCCCTACCAAAAGTCGAGACTATTATGAGGAATGGATTCAAACAATTGTGAGTGCAAGATTTTGTTTGCATTATCATTTGGTTTGTTTAGTCTGACAAGAGCTAAACCCCCAAACTAAGAGCCCAAACACTTTTTCAAAGATAATGACATAATTTTGTTATCAAACAGAACACGTTAAC